GGGGAGGAGGGGGTGGGGGGGTGGGAGAAGGGAGATCAGGAAGGGAGGGAGGGAAATGGGGACAAGCTAGCAATAATTTATACATACCGGTAGTTGAACTTCATAATCTTGCATGTTGATTAGCTGTATGTTTTTGCGTTTGTCCGTATGTGTGTGCGTATGTGTGTGAGCCTGTATGTGTGTGTGCGTATATGTACGTACTGTTTTGTGTGTCTGTTTCGGGGTGAGTGCTAAGTGCCTTGTTAAAGCATTTGGGGTTGTGATCGTTAGTGGGGCAGCTTAGCTTGCCCAGATCAATCGAAGTTGCATCAACGATGCATTCTAGCATTAGCTTCGAAGCATTCACAACTGTTATCCCTTGTTTTTGCATGGGTTTGTGTGCTGCTGCCGTTTGTGTTTGTTTTGGGGTGTGGTGCTAAGTGCATCGTGTATGCAACTGGGGTTGTCATCGTCGGTGGGGCAGCTTTGCTCGCCTCTTCCGTACCATATCAATCTCAGTTGCAACATTGATGCATTTAGTATTCACTTCGAAACATGCACGCTTTTCTTGTGGTACCGTATGGCCCCGGATATAGGCGCCGTCCGATTAAAGGCGCCGGCACCTATATGTGGAGCATGGCGCTTATGGCCGTTCCTTGATTATAAGCCCCCCCCCTGTAAAACCCTGATTTATTATAAGCGCATGCATAATTTTATTCTTTCAATCCTGATTAAAACAGTAACGAATTTCAAATTTCAAGCGAGTCAGCACCCATTTTCACTTTGTTTGACTTTCGAGGTCCTGACTGGTTTCGCGTCCAGTCAGGATGAGGTGGCACGCGGGCAAATTGACGTGCGAAAAGCTATGTGCAGCGTCAGAGATTCGCCCTCACGCGATTCAAAATCAGGACGCTATAAAATGTCGACTCGATTGAACTTACGAGGCGGAAATGTACATTTTGATGCGTTTAAGTTGTATTTCTGTATTTGTCGTTATATAAGCGCCGGCGCTTATGGCCGATACTCAATTAAAAGCGCCACCCCCCAAAAAAACTGATTTTATTAGAAGCGCATATGCGCTACTATCCGGGGTAATACGGTATGTGGTTTTTGTACATGTTCCAGTATGTGGTAATTTGTTTGAGGGTGTAATGTGTTGGTTTAGTCCTTGTTTGCGTGTCTTAGGGTGTTGTGTCAGAATGTGTAGTTTGTCTAGCCTGCAGTGGGGTACTCTATAGCGAGTACAACCCAATTAGGGTTTCCTATATGTATCTCAACTGCTGCTAGTGCAAATCCCTTTTCCTGTTCTATCTTTCTACTTACTATCTTCGACATGCTATCAGAGCGGTCACGCTCCTAGCCTGTGGGCCCACCGTTAGCTTCCGCTGCTGTCCTGTCTGTCGCGCGCCCCGTGGCGCGCGACGTTTTTTCTTCCCGCCACGCGCTCCTAGCGCATGGCGGTTTTCTGCCCGCCGAGCGCTCGGGGCGCGTGGCGGTTTTCTGCCCGCCGTGCGCCCCGAGGCGCGCGGCGGTTATCTGCCCCGTCGAAGCGCCCCCGGGGGCCCGCGCGCCGTCCTCTCCCGTCGCCTCGTCGCGGCACTTTGGGGGCCCGCGCGCCACCCCCTCCCGTCGCCTCGTCCCGGCGCCTTGGGGGCCCGCGCGTCGCCCCCTCCCGACTGTTAGAGACTAAGGACGGAGTCTATGAAGATTAGGAGCCGAAATATCACAAAATCGTTGGTCTCAATTTCTGGACAGAATCGTTGCGCTCACAAGAAACGTCGTCGACAAAACACGCACCGTCACAACTTCACCAATTTCGGATATGTTGTAGCTCTAGTCCGTAGATACAATTCCCAAGTTGAATCGTACAAAAAGATGAAGTATTTCTCGAGTTATCAATTTTGGCGCACAGGGGGGTATGCTGCCATAAGAACTTAACTCAATCACAAGAGTCCCACAATTACACAATTACTACACAAGAGAGTTAGAGTAGCTAGAAACCAGGTGGGAGGGAAGAGGAGGACGAGAGTGAAGGTTCCAAGGAGTCCCCAACCAAAGGAAACTCCATGCCACACAATTCCCTTCCCCATAGGCAACCCAACTTTGACCTTTGTCAATATCCCAACCTCCACAATCCACCTCAACCCAACTTGGCCACACTTGCCAACCTGGTTTGGCTTCTCCCAACCATTTGGTAGCATCTACCGTGATGGGGACGAATTTCCCAACCCCCAAAAGTCTGTACCCCATATAGAGTCATTCCCACAACTTCCCATAGTCGCCACAACCAAACCATCACAAAAACCCTATGCCAAGTTTGGACGAATTTTGATTTCGATTGTCTTCGCGTAAAAAAATCCGGAGCCAATTTGGACCGACAGTTGGAGTCATTTGATAGGAGCTCCGAGACACATCTCGCGACAGGGTTTGGCTCGGTTCAAGTTCCAATTTGGCACGCGAGCTTTTCCGGATGACATTCGGGCGCAATCCGTTTTGTTGCAAATTCGTGACCAAATTATTCAGAACTAAATTCTGTTTTTGTTCATTTTGGATATTGAGGATTTCAAAATTGCATTTATTATTGCGGTTTACAAGAACCATTATTCAGCATTCTAGCAACAAGCAGTCTTAGCACCAGGTCAAATAGCCTACGCACTGGCGGTCCTTGAAAGCGCCCGGTGGGCAAGGACGACATCTCCAAGGTCGCCGTCGTCGATGAGGAACTTGTTCGGAAAGACGAACGCACCCATAGCCGGATCGTGGGGGATCCTCCGCTCCACGACAGCAAAATGGATCATCTGTTTGACCTTTTTGCACCACTCCTGGTAGTCTGGCCTGTTCTGCTCCGGCTGGCTACTGATTCGCTTGCGACGCTTATCCTGCAGAAGGGGCCATTCGATCTGCAATGTGGTGTAGGGTTGGGTGGATGGTTTATGAGGAGGGTAGGTTACGGGTAAATGAGGCAACTGAAAGCGGTGATGCAGTCGTCACTATCTACGTAACTGCAAAGGCCTAATCGACCAGGGTTTTAGCTGAAGTACAGGCAAGGGGTTAAGGGGATGAGGCATGGGGGTACAAACACATATCTACATCCTTACCGAAAACAGGCCCCATGCCACCATGCGGCTCTTGAACTTGGTGAACACCGCCCCACCCCTCTTGAAGGAGAGCTTGAACGCATAAGCGAACAAGGGGTTGCTGAAGGGTGTCCCGGTGGCCTTGTCAAAGTGCCAGTTGAGGGCCCACTGTTCTGCTTTTTGGCAGGGAGGGTATGGGTTGGAAAGGGTTTTGTAGAGAAATCAAATGGGGGGATGAGAGTCAGGGTGAGCCACATCGCACGGTGATATGTAGCTGCCAAGGGGCATATGGTAAGGCATATTGTGTTTTCGAGTTGCACTGCACATACCATCTCTGTACTCGGCTAGGAGTTGATAGTCGTCGAACCAGGTCGTTGGGTGTAGCTCAGTGGGCAGGCTATCCACGAGATGGCTGTAATCGGCAAGGCCCATGCCGGTGTATGCTGCTGGCCTGAGGGTGGAGTTGATAGTTGACCTTGTTGAGGACAACTGGTGGTTGAAGACTCCCATGGTTGACTTGTCATTGTGCAACCACAGCAGCTTCATTGCCTCGAGCCCTTCTGCAGACAAGTGGACAGAGAACGCTTCGAACACTTCCTCCGGTGCAGGGTAGTACTGTATTTTCTCCGGCGGGTTCAGAAACATGAGCTGAGAGCACACTAAGTAGGCTTTGTTCTGCGCAGGGGTGTAAGGTATACAACACGACATGGAAGAGAGAAACCAGCAGTTATGAGGGTGGCCGCGTGACCATGGGATGGTGACTAGCAACACTGTTTGAACTTGCCACGTCACACCCTGCGCCATCCGACACGTCCACCAACAACCCGGCCCACTTGCCACGTCACACCCCCCTACCACAAGCCACGTCACCCCCCACCCACCTGACACACCTCGCTTCGTCATGCGCAGTGGTCACGTGTACCATTTCTAACCGCCACGTCATCCCCAACCCTCACCTTCCGCCACGTCACACCCACCTGCATCCGCCACGTCATCCCCAACCCTCACCTTCCGCCACGTCACACCCTCCTTGTCCGCCACGTCCACCAACCAGCCCCACGTGCCACGTCACACCCTCCTGCATCCGCCACGTCCACCAACAACCAGCCCCACGTGCCATGTCACACCCTCCCACCCCATGCCACGTCACCCCCCACCCACCTGACACGCGTCGCCTCGTCACGCGCCGCTCCCGTGTACCATTCCAAATCGCCACGTCAGCCCCAACCCTCACATTCTGCCACGTCACACCCTTTTGCATCCGCCAACAACCCGCCCTACTTGCCACGTCACACCCCCCACCAAGAGCCACGTCACCCCCCACCCACCTGAAACGCCTCGTGCCGTCATGCGGCACTCCCTTGCACCCTTTCACACCGCCACGTCATATCCCAACCCTCACCTTTTGCCACGTCACACCCAACCCGCATCCGCCACGTCCACCAACAACCCGCGCCACTTGCCACGTCACACCCACCCACCCCATGCCACGTCACCCCCCACCCACCTGATACGCGTCGCCTCGTCACGCGCCGCTCCCGTGTTCCCTTCGAAACCGCCACGTCAGCCCCAACCCCGCCCTTGTTGCCACGTCAACCCCAACCCTCCCCATGTGGCCCGCCACATACCGGGAATGGGTTTGTCTCCTGCAACACTAGCACTCGTGCCTTGTCCACGGCGCTCATCGGCGGCGGGGTACCAGCCATAGGCAGGGCTGCCGACCCGCCGGCATAGCTGGCAGGTACTCCACGACGCAGGCCGAGCTGTGCAAACATGGCGTACATCTCAGACCGCAGCGCCTGGAACTCCTCCCGTGTAACAAACTGCTCGTGCTCCGCACTTTCACCTAGGGCACCCATGAGCGGAGGAAAAGGGTGTGAAGAATCCCCCCTCTGGCCAAGGGGATCCACGTCTTCTGCAGCAGTCCCGTGTGCCCTCACACTATCACGCTGGCGGGAAAAGGGGAGCTCAGGGAAGGGATTGGCATAACTGCCTACCTGATGCCCGCGCGAAGGATCGGCGAGAGGGGAGACCACCCTGCCCCGGACAGGAGAAGCGTGGAGTTGCCGAAATTGGTACGAGGGTGAGGCGAGTGGGGACTGCGTGACGGGGGCGGGTGGAGGGGATTCGGATTCCTCTCCTCTTGGCGCGCCTGGTGCCGTCGCAGCGACTTTGCTCGGGCCGGCCCATGGCGTGTAGTACCTTGGTGCTCCGGAGGAGAGCGGTGTAACACTCGCTCTTCCGGCAGCCTTCGTTAGATGCATTCGTTGCACGCTTACGGGCGGCCCAATGCCTGTAACGCGAGGGGCTGAGATGTAGAGGGAGCCGGAAAAAAAAAATAGAGTCGATCGGTTTCAAGGCGGGGCCAGACATGCATGCATATTCAGAAAGGTTTGAATCTAGATCGGGTTCAGGGTTGTACTGGTTTGAGACAAGAGGGTTTACCTTGCTTGGCAGATTCGTCGACCTTCTCCTTCCCTGCATGGGAGAAACAATGTGAAAAAAGGGTGTTTTTTGGCACGGTTTAGCAGATGGTTCAACACGTCACGCCAGTTTTATTGGACACAATGCTCACCTTTCTGCTGTCCCTTCGGTTTTGGGGCAGCCTGCGCCTTCTCGTTGCCACCTTTCCGCGGGGTGCTTTGGCGGACGCTGCGACGTTTACCCGCAGGTTCTTTCTTGCTGGTACCCACTAGAACCCCGGAGGCGCGGCCACCCTTTCCTCCTCCATCCCCTTTTGCTCCCTGGCTCCCTTGCTTTTTACCAACCCCTTCACTTTCGACCTTCACCTTACGCGCCTTCGGTTTGCCCGATGCTTCGCCGCGCGCAGCGTCAACTGCCCCGCGTTTTCGGGAAGGGCGAGTCCGGCCCCCCTCCTTCCCTGTACCACTCATCCGTCTGCCACGCCCGCCCCGTCCCTTCACTGGCGCCACATCCTCCTCCTCCTCCTCCTCCTCCTCCTCCTCCTCCTCCTCCTCCGCTGCCTCCTCCTCCTCCTCCTCCTCCACATCCTCCTCTTCGTCGTCACCCTGCTCCTCCTCCTCCTCCTCCTCCTCCTCCTCCTCTTCTGCCTCCTCCTCCTCCTCCTCCTCCTCCTCTTCTGCCTCCTCCTCCTCCTCCTCCTCCTCCTCCTCCTCCTCCTCCTCCTCCTCTGCCTCCTCCTCCTCCTCCTCCTCCTCCTCATCCTCCTCCTCCTCCTCCTCCTCCTCCTCCTCCTCCTCCTCCTCCTCCTCCTCCTCTTCGTCCTCCCCGCCATCATTCTCATCTTTTTCATCCTCCCCAATATCCGCGTCATCCTCCTCCGCTTCCTCTTCATCGTCCTCTCCCTCCGCATCCTCCTCCTCATCCTCCTCCTCCTCCGCATCACCGGGGTCTTCATCGCCCCGTTTCGGCTTTGTTCCCGTCGCTGCTTTCTTGCCTCTCCTTCCGCCGGATGCTTTTCTTGCTGCGGGTCGGCCCTTCTGGCGCAATGCTTGACCGCCCGCCTTGCCACTAGCTTCCTTGGCGCCTCGCGGTGTCCCAACTGCCGCGCCTCCGGCGTCGTCAGCACTACCTGTCGTCTGCCGCCTCTTCGCCCGCGTAATGAGGTCCCCGGGCACGGCGGTGTCATAATCGTCCTCCCCATCGCTCTTCCTCTGCCTACGCCTCCCCCGTCCACCAGAAGGTGGAGAGCCACCGACCAGCCCCACCGACTCGTGCTCCCCCACCTTGTCCTTATCCAGCACGGCTGCAGAAACTTCGACCACGGTCGGCTGGAGCAGCGTCAGATGGTGTTGCGTTGCCGCCGCCTCGGACTCCTTGGTTGCGGCATGCTCGGCGCGGGGATCGCCTCCGTGATTTCCCTCCGTCGCCGATCCCTCCATCTCCGCCGATGGGAGTGCAAGACTCGCGCTCCCTCGCCCCGGATCTTCGTTGCCGCCAGTGGTGCCGTCTTTACTCGGACCGGGCTCGGTTCCAGCAGAGGCAACATCCGCATCTTTGTTCACTGTAGAAACACGCTTGCGTGGCGTTGGTTTAGGCCCCTTGTCTTCCGCTTTCTTGCCGGCCTCCTGTTGACCGCGCGCGACCTTTTTTGCCGCCGCTTTTTTCTGCCCAATGCCACGAGCGACGGACGCATTAGTTTTTTTAGCGCCGCCACCACACTCCCTATCGATTTGTTTAGACTCCTCCTTGTCGCGCGGCGGCCGGCCTGTTCCTCCTCCATTGCTTGGTTACGTGTTGCACGTGTCATGGTAATTGTAGGAGGAGCAAAGTTGCAAATCGAGCGGAAGGGTTGAGCCGGTTTCGAAAGGGTTCTGCAACTGAATCCCACGATGGGATTATCGACGGTCTATCACTGTTATGTGTTTCCGAAAACCGCCGCTTCAACTAAATCTGTCATAGTAGCCACTATGCTTCGCGCTAAGGCCGATCTGGAGAGGCGTGTGTCAAGGCAACGAGCAGCGTCAAAGTGTTGGTCCAGGGAGTGATGGAAGCAGGTGGGTGGGACACGAGGGTGGTTGGGGTGGGTTGCGAGACTAGAGAGAGTAATGTAACCCTATCAGGCTATATTGGACGGTGTACGTGTAGCCACCCTAGCATAAACCCACCTACCGCTCGATCTCAGCCGCTCAATGGCTGAAGTACCTCTTGGCTGATAACTGTGTTGCGGGGGGAATCGTTTGAGATGCGTCGGCCAATCACGGTTGCCAACGCATAAATCACTAAATTTTATTCAAACATACAACAATGCATTTCATCAGACTCTAAGTTGCAAATGGTTTACCACGGGGTTGGGGTAAGTTAATCGGTGATTATTACGTCACACACACAACGACCGTCCAGAATTATTACTTGTGACAGATGTACTGTGCACTTTTAGGCTTTGCCACAATGGTTTAGGGCCAGCGGACGACATTCTAACACGATTATCAATAGTAACAAACGTGAATACGTTGCGGTATGGTGTTGGATTGTCATCCATTCTTTCACAGACATTAAACAAGGTGCTTAGAAGGAGTGGTATGAAGCACAGGCCCAACGCACAAGCGTAGATGCGTTATCGACAGCCATGGTTAGACTGCGACGATGCAGTGTTCAGGCCTGCGGGTTGCGCGACATGGTGAATCCGTTGTGGTATGGTGTTGCATTGGCATCCATTCTTGCACAGACATTAAACAAGGTGCTTAGAAGGAGTGGTATGAAGCACAGGCCCAACGCACAAGCGTAGATGCGTTATCGACAGCCATGGTTAGACTGTGCGACGATGCAGCTTTCAGGCCTGCGGGTTGCGCGACATGGTGAATCCGTTGTGGTATGGTGTTGCATTGGCATCCATTCTTGCACAGACATTAAACAAGGTGCTTAGAAGGAGTGGTATGAAGCACAGGCCCAACGCACAAGCGTAGATGCGTTATCGACAGCCATGGTTAGACTGTGCGACGATGCAGCGTTCAGGCCTGCGGGTTGCGCGACATGGTGAATCCGTTGTGGTATGGTGTTGCATTGGTATCCATTCTTGCACAGACATTAAACAAGGTGCTTAGAAGGAGTGGTATGAAGCACAGGCCCAACGCACAAGCGTAGATGCGTTATCGACAGCCATGGTTAGACTGTGCGACGATGCAGCTTTCAGGCCTGCGGGTTGCGCGACATGGTGAATCCGTTGTGGTATGGTGTTGCATTGGCATCCATTCTTGCACAGACATTAAACAAGGTGCTTAGAAGGAGTGGTATGAAGCACAGGCCCAACGCACAAGCGTAGATGCGTTATCGACAGCCATGGTTAGACTGTGCGACGATGCAGCGTTCAGGCCTGCGGGTTGCGCGACATGGTGAATCCGTTGTGGTATGGTGTTGCATTGGCATCCATTCTTGCACAGACATTAAACAAGGTGCTTAGAAGGAGTGGTATGAAGCACAGGCCCAACGCACAAGCGTAGATGCGTTATCGACAGCCATGGTTAGACTGTGCGACGATGCAGCTTTCAGGCCTGCGGGTTGCCCGACATGGTGAATCCGTTGTGGTATGGTGTTGCATTGGCATCCATTCTTGCACAGACATTAAACAAGGTGCTTAGAAGGAGTGGTATGAAGCACAGGCCCAACGCACAAGCGTAGATTCGTTATCGACAGCCATGGTTAGACTGTGCGACGATGCAGCGTTCAGGCCTGCGGGTTGCGCGACATGGTGAATCCGTTGTGATATGGTGTTGCATTGTCATCCAACATTGCATGGACATTGAAACCGTTGTGTTATTGTACGACATTGTCATCCATTCTTGCATATTCATTCAGCACGGTGCGTAGAGGTACACTACACCTCGAGAGAAGACACGCTATAGGTATTCGCTCCACGCAACAATCATACGTTAGGGCATGGAGTTATTGGGTACTTCCCGTATCGTTATCAAGTAAGGGTTCTTCAACATCAGTCCTAAGGATATGAATGTTTACTAGTTATGAATGACTTGAGTGTCTTGTTAAGTTGTAATTGTACATTTGCATTTCCATGTTTGTTTGAAGCCTCTTGAGCTCACCTACGTGATTCTGATTTCCCCCCTATATCGATTCGCGACACAATCACAGATCCAAACGGATCTCTTCCCGCTCTTCCTCATCCCCCTCGACTCTCACGCACGGTTCCTAAACACAAGTTCTTGATTCAATAGGCACGTCCTTCTCACCGTGCTCGCGACGCACACACACGACCGTGAGACTTAAGATCCTCCGCATTCTCCTCTGCTCACGTCGTGGTCACTCTAAACGGGGGCGACACGCCTTGTAGGGAAGACGGCCCGTGAGGTGGGCGGTCTGTATCGTGCCTGGTAACGACCACGCGGCTCGACATCGTTAGCCAGTCATAAACATTAGCGCCAATGTCAAGTGCCAGTCGTGCAGTGATACAAGCCGCCCAGCAAATAACCAGAAAGCTAAACAAGTACGGTATATCGTTATTTAAAAAAAGGCAGGTTTATTAGTGCCCTAAACAAGCATTTTCCAGTTATTTTACAAATTTTTTTTTGCAGATATTAAACAAGCACGGTATGATCGTTATGAAAAGATTGTCAAATTTATTAGTACCCTAAACAAGCCTTTTCCAGTTATGTTACATTTTCTTTTGCAGATAAATTAAGATTCCCGTGAATTTTTTTTTCTTTAGGTCGATTGCAATAGGTTGCTTCGCAACCCAAAAAAAAAAAGAACGGAAAGCAGCCTCCACTAGGGTCTACCATGTGAAACGCGATCAAGTGCCCAACGGTAAATTGGACCCTCACCGAGTAGCTGGTGCAAAGAAACGGATGTTTTTGCCCAGGCAAGTCAGGAAGCACCGCGCGTCCATTCAACCACCGCGAGTGCGAATGCAGAGTTACGCGAGGATTGCCCTCGCCTCCATCCCTTAGCACATTCCAACGTTGATAGACCGCACCACCCTAATTCTTTGCGCGCACCACATCATCATGCCCTGCATGATCTCGTGTTTTAGTGATGTTTGGGACCACCATGCCTCGTCACGACGACGTCAAGGTCTCCAATTCCTTCGTCCACCTCGCCTCACACCCACCGCCATGCACTCTCAGAGGAAACGGGGGCGCGGTGTTTTCCGGATACGTTTGGATGATCTCGGAAGGTTCACGGAAGAAAAGCCTTCGGAACAGAGTTTCAACCCAATCTCGTCCCGGCGACGCTGCGCAATAGTCTGTTTATTCTCTCCCCCCCTTCCCCTCCTACTCCTCGACTTGCGTCGTTTCGGCCCAGCCGCTGATAATCGACTGGCGTGTCTTCTCACCGCGTGACTTCCCTTGTATCTCGGCGCCTGCCACACCTCATGCTCGCCTCCCTGGAAGGCCAACCAACGCAGCACAGCATAACTGGCACAATCGCCGAGTGCTTCAGGTATGACCGCCATTCCTCGTCTGCTTTAACACAATCTACTCCATCCTTCGTCTACTTTTCGCCTCCCTGGTATCGCCCTCTCTCTGCCCAAAACCCCTTCATTCATCCGCCCTTTCTCTTCCTCCATCGGTGCTCCTGCCCTTGGCCACGTGCCAGGGATTCGTGAAAGCTGAAGGTCATTCGTGCCTGTTCTGAGACGTCTCGAAGCAGTTTTATAATTCGTGTAGTGCGAGCTCATTTGTGCCCTGCCCACCCTCTTCTTCACCGTTCCTCTGCATGTGACAATCAACCACAACTGAACCGTTCACAAAAGGCTTCTTCAGGCCTTAAAAAAAACTCAATGAATGTTGTGCGCCCAAGGAATACAGCCGCAATTCCTCTCCCCACCTCTACTACTGCCGCAATTCCCCTCCCCCCTCTTGCTACTTCTGCTATTGCCGCTATTCCCCTATTCCCCCTGTTACTGCCGCCATTCCCCCCCCCCATTTTCCATTGCCGCAGCTTCCCTCCCCCCCTTGCTACTGCCTCTATCCCCCCTACCCCCCCCCCTTCCTGCTACTGCTGCTATTCCCCTTCCCCCCTGATACTGCCGCCATTCCTCCCCCCCCTCCCTCTGATAATGCCGTTATCCCCCCCCCCCCTCTCCCCCCCTGCTACTGCCGCTATTCCCCTCCCCCCCTGCTACTGCCGCTATTCCCCTCCCCCCCTGCTACTGCAGCTTCCCCTCTTCCCTAGCCTCAAAATAAGACTTTGTGTCGCGTTTTTTTCAGTCAAATTGATTCTTTATTATGCCCCACCATCCATCTCATTGCCTGTATGGTCCAGTCCGAGACATCCTCCTGCAGGCACTCAATGCATGACGACCTTCCTTCTCTCCTACCCCACTGCTGCCATTCTCCCCCTTCCTCTTGCTGCTGCTCCTCCCTGTTCCGCACCCTGTTGCGCGCTCCTGTTGCTACTCCCCGTGCAGCAGGCTTATTGTGCCTTGCAGTGGGCTCGCCCCATCAGCCATGGCTTGGGTGGCTGCAGTGGCCATGGCCTGTTGCTCTCGGGCGGCCCGCCTTTGCCTGTCCAGATGCATCTCTAGTATCAGGTACGCACTGCAGTCATTCACTATGTGGAGTATATTACATATCCAATTGTACACCAGCAAAACCTTTGCTTTCTTATGATCTTATCCCACCCCCCCTGTTCTTTTCCTTTCCCCTCCCCCTTCCTCCCTCCCGTCCCTCCTCCCCTCTCTCACACTCAGCTAATATGCATCGGAGCTGTCAGAGTGTTTCTGGCCGTATGCCCCATGCCCCATGCCCCATGCCCCATGCCACATGTCTAATGCCTCATGCCCCATGTCCCATGCCCCATGTCCCATGCCCCATGTCCCATGCCCCATGCCCCATGCCTCATGCCCCATGCCCCATGCCTGCCTCCGTTGTTGTCCTTGCTGTCTGGCCTCTTCCCCTCCACCCTCCTCCCTCCCGTCCCGTCCTTCCTCCCCGTCATTCCACCATTGTGCAGGCACACGCCTTGCAGTGGGCTCACCCCATCAGCCAAGCCTCGCATGACTGCACTGCCCATGCTGCTGCCAGGGCTGCTGGTGGCCCTCGTTCTTGGCGGCGCTGCCATTGCACTCATCCCTATCATCAGCAAGACGCCACTTGGGATGGATGCCTGGCGTGCCACCACCACCGCAGCCGATGTGAGTCATCACTACCAGGAGTCGATGTGAGGCACCGAGTAGTGCTGTTTTGTGTGTCATGCTGCTCTCCCTTTCTCCAGGTGGTTCTCGTTTTCGGCGCTGCCATCCCACACATCACCATCCCACACATCACCATCCCATACATCACCATCCCACACATCACCATCCCACACATCGCCATCCCACACATCACCACATGCCTCCCAAATCCTTTTCACAATGAGCAAGGCACATGACTAACACACGCCTGCACTTATACATGTGCAGAATGCACTTTCAATGCTTTCTTGCCATGTGTAGCCTTGCACCCACCCATCCTCAGACCTTGCTGCAACCAAATTGTTTGGCATAGTTCTGTTGAGCCTGAAATGTCTCGCCCCTCGTATTTGTGATCACTTCTCATCCCCCATCCCCCCACACCTGCAGACTCCTATCTTCGTGCTTGTCTCTGGCATCGCCACTCCCATGGTACTCCTGTGGTGGATGGGCATGACCCTCACGCAAGGCAGAGCATGGGCGCATCAGCAGGGCTTGGCTCTGATGGCTGGGCTGACGGTTGGGCTGTTGAAACTGATGAAGCTGAAGAGTGCAAACAAGTGGCCTGTGGTATGCCCTGCTCTCTGCCCTCCACCACTTCAGCTTGTCATTGTGCTTAATCTTTCTCCCTCTCTCTTCCAAGCTCTGTCTTCCACTCTCCCTCGCTCAATTTCCTCTCTCCTTTACTCCCTTCGACACTCATCCCGCCTTTCCTTCCTCGCCCGCACCATGATGCAGCCACGAGGAATCTTCCCTCTACTGCGCAGCACCGTGTGAGTTTGCTCCACCTCACCATCCCTCAGTCCCATCCTGGGGTCCATGTTTGAGTATTCGCATTGCATCCTCTTCTTTCGTTCTTGTTTTATGGCAAACTTTATGTTTGTGCATTCTTATGTCTCCTGTCATCACCATATAGCCTGTGCACTTAACCTTGTAATTTCGTTTTGTGATCTTTCTTCCTTCTCCCTTGTATGCCCTCCTCTGGCTCTGATAATGTCTGATGGTTTCCATCATTTGCAATTATGATGTGGACAGCAAAACGTCCTCGCATTTCACCCGTCTTCCTCACAATCCCTTAACTGTTCCACTTTCTTCTAACCATGTTCGTACCATACCATCTGCTACCACACTCTTGCTGCTACACCCGTCTGTTCTCATGTGTTCCCATGTGCTTCTATGGGCAGAAATCGTGCCAGTGCCTGGATCCAGAGAGCGGGTGAGGTTATTGGGACGGTCACTGTGGGTATGGCTGGGAGACACAAGATGAGTGAGGCGAAGGAGTTGAGCATGAGGGCGATTGGCGTGCAGCTAGAAGAGACAAGGAGGGAGCTGGCTGTCGCTAGGGAGGAATTGGAGGAGGCTGAGAGTCGGACAGAAGAGGGGTTGAGAGAGTTGCGTGAGTTCAGGGAGGAGCTGGCAGAACTGAAGAGGGCGCTCAGGGAGCAGAAGGAGCTGGTGGTAACTCAGTTGGAGGAGGCTGAAGAAAGAAAGGCAGCGGAATTGAGAGAGCTGAGAGAACAGGTGGAGGAGAGGAAGAGGGGTTTGGAAGAGGCTGAGAGGAGACGAATGGCGGAGACGAGTGAGATGAGAGGGCAGGTGGAAGGGAGGGAGAGGGAGCTGGCTGCAGTGAAAGGGGAGATGAGTGAACACAAGGATGCTGTGAGAGACCTACTAGACATGGCTGAGAGAAGAAGGGAATCGGATTTGAGAGATCTGAGAGAGGAAGCAAGGAAGGGCAAGGATGAAATGAGAGCGGAGTTGGCAAGAGAGAGGGAGGAGAGGAGGAGGGAGGTGCAGGAGCTGAATTGGCCGCGAGCCATGGAGGAGTTGGCAGCGTGCAGGAGCTGGCAGATTGTTGAGCTGGAGATCAGCCAGAGTGAAGGCCATCGGAAGATTGCTTGGGAGGTGCGTGTGGAGCGATTGGTTGACAGGATGCGCACTCTTTTGATGTCGACACTTGATCATTCCTTCTCTTTTCATCCATTTCCCTTCCATCTCCATCCATCATCTCCAGCAAATCAAGTCAGCGTCACGGGGGACTGAGTTGAGTCTGAGGACCATCCACGGCCTCTCAGACACCATCCTCAGCCATGTGTCCACCATGACCCACCTCAGGAGCATCGACCTGCAGTGCAGCTCAGGCTTCAGTGCAGAGGGCATGAAGCACCTCTACAGGCTGCTACAGCTCGAGAAACTAGACCTCATCGGCACAGACGTCTCAGACAGTGCCTTGGAAGGCATCGGGTCCCTGGCTAGTCTCGGGGACCTCTATCTCAATCGGACCAAGGTCACTGATGCTGGTCTGCCGCACTTGACCGCTCTGTCCTCCCTCAAAGTGTTGTGGCTGTCGTTCTGCCAGGGTGTGACAAATTTTGGCATGGTGCAGTTGGGGAGGATGGCAGGGCTTGATGAGCTTGCTGTGGATGGCACAGCAGTCACGGATGATGGGCTGCTGCACCTCACTGCGCTGACCAAGCTCACAGCCCTCTGGCCGCCGGAAGGGGGCTGCCTTGTGAATGATGATGTGTGTAGGCGGATAGGTAGACTGGATGGTAGGGACTCCTTCCTTGGCACAGTGAAGAAGAGCGTATCACCCCTAGAAGCTGCGCTTTAAGCCAATTTTCAAAGGGGTTGATTGATCAGATAGAAGCTTGGTGGTTGTGTTGCATACAAATACGGTACACCAATCTGATGTACTATCAACTACCGGTATGTGTTCATCTTTTCTAAAACCAAGAGAAGGAACTTTCACAGCGTGGATAAAACAATAAAGCACCTCTTTCATGAGCATCTGAATGATTGAGCTACCACTGAATTGGTACTGCCTCTGTGAACCGATGAGATGATGCATGTGCTGTCTTGTCACTGATGTTGCTGTGGGGTGTAACAGCAGCAGCAGCAGCAGTACCAGCAGCAGCAGCAGCAGCAGCAGCAGCAGCGGCGGCAGCAGCAGCAGCGGCACCAGCAGCGACGGTGTATCTTAGAGCACAAGGGCAAGCACAGAGCACAGAAGAGTTACAGCCACCAGTGCACTGGCACTGCCACTGTAAACTGATGCTTGTGCTGCCTTGCCAGTGCTGTTGCTGGGGGGTGATGAAGCAGCAGCAGCAGCGGTAGGAGGAGAAAGGGCAGCAGTGGGCGCAGGTGGTACGTTGGCGGAAAGCGGTGCAGAGATGGTGTCAGAAGGAATGTCTGCCAGTGATGCGTGGGCCCTGTTGAGGGTTGCAGGGGAGGGGTGGTGGGTGGGGATAAGCTTTGAGACGTGCCAAAACTGAGCGACAGGAGGTGCAGGTGGTGCGTTGGCAGGGAGCGGTGCAGGGATGGTGTAAGAGGGGATGTCTGCCAGCGATGCATGGGTCCCGTCGTGGGTTGAAGGAATGTGGGACAATGAAGGGCAGGTGTGTGGTGATTACACGGTGTGGTGATGAGACCGTGACCAGGTGACCTTTGAAGTGCGCATGTGTGTCGAAATGGTGTGGCAGTGTAGGGCTGTGACATGGTGCACTGCAATGCGCTTTTATCTCAAATCACTCAGCAGGGCAGCCGTTGCTAACCTTCTCATTCGTGCTGGAACCAACGGTGATCTTGCAGGGCTGGTAGGAGGGGAGTGAGTGTGATGTAACAGGGTACGGGTGTGGTGCGGTGCAGTGGGGTTTGTCTGCGCCTGACGAGAGGTGTTTCTTACTGAGCGGGACAGCCGTTGACGACTTTCTTGGGCGAGTTGGCACCGAATGTGATCTTGCAGGGCTTGCCAGAAGGGATGACGTTGGACCCGCCACACGTGTAGAACGTTGAGAGCGTGGGGCTGTTTGGGTCCATGTTCCAGGTGTTGTTCTCATATGATGCACAGAAGTCATAGCACACGTTCATCTCTGGTGGGGGTGAGGTGGGGCAAGGGGGAAAGGGGGTTGGGTTGGGGAGGAGAAAGGGGGTGGGTCGGGGAGGAGAAATGGGGTGGGTTGGGGTGGGGAAAAAAGGTGGGTGTACGTGCAAGGTAAGGCTGTTAGAGTCCACTCCAGGAGTGTCATTCTCGTACAATGCATGGAAGTCATGGCACACGTTCATCACTGCATGGAGTGAGGCGAGGGAGGGGAAAAGGGGTTGGATGGGGGAGGGCTGTAAGCAGTATGGCTGTTGGGATCCCCTGGTATGGCCATATTGCCAAAAGTATCGTTCTCATACAATGCACGGAGAGTCATAGCATGAGTTTATCCCATGCAAGGCCATCTCTGGGCGTGTGAAAGCATGAGCGGGAGATGGTAGGGGGAATGAGGGAAGGGGTGTTGGTAGGGGAAAGGACTGTTGGTGAGGGGTTGGGTTGCTGACAAGAACAGCGTGGGGCTGTAGGGCACCTGCCGAGAGTCTCGTTCGCATACGATGCACAGCAGTCGTAACACTTGTCCATCCCTGGTTGGAGCAGCAATGGGCGTGTGAGAGGGTGGGTCTCCAATTGAAACGCATCACCCAATGAGTAAAAGCATTACCTCTACCCTGCTGCTCCCTGTGCATGGGAAGAAGAAGCATTGCCGTGGCCCTGGCGAGCGGGGTAGTAGATGAGGTAGTCAGCGCACATCTCGTCTTCTGTGGATGGCCCTCCCATTTAGAAATACGCGTCCCCCATGGAAAAACAAATCATTTACTTTTTGAGAAGTAACGTTACCGTGGCCCTGGCGTGCGGGGTAGTAGATGAGGTAGTCAATGCACATCTCGTCTTCTGTGGATGGCCCTCCTACCGTCACCTGCATGCACCAACGGACAGAGAGGGACAGAAGAGAGGGACAGCGGGCAGAGGAGTTTACTGTAAAGGGGGCTGTCAACATTAGAGTGGAACTGACACCGTACAACACGAGGTAAGTGCGTGGGAGTGGGGGGGGGATCTCAGGGTTGGTGGTGCTTTTCACCATGCTGCCCATGCTCCCCATGCTCCCCACGCGTCCATGAGCAGGTATACATGGATGTATCCAAACCGCTACGAGGCACGTGCGTTGGTGCGAGCAGTGCAGTCCCACACACAGGAGGGTGCGCAGCTTGTACCAACAGAGGGGCTGCAACAGCACAAGGTAACTTAATGCCAAGAGGCACGTCTTGCTGGTGAGATTGAGGGCAGGAGGCAAGCACGTTGGTGCGCTCAGAGGAGTCCCAAACACAGGAGGTGCGCACTTGTCCCAACAAGGTGAGAGGTAACGCTAAACAGCACGTGTACTGGTGAGAGGGAGGCACGTACGTTGATGCGGTCAGTGGAGTCCCACACACAGGTGGTGCGCAGCTCGTCCCCTGGCAGCAGCTCAAACTCTGGCGCCACGGGAATGGTCTGCTGCGATGCACCGTCGCTGTTCGGGTGCGGGGGGAGAGGAAAACAGGGAACGACGGAGAGAGGGAGGGAGGGAGGGAAGCAGGGAGGGAGGGGAGCGTGTGGTGAGCTCGCCCCCTGACAGCGGCTCGAGCTCTGGCGTGAAGGGGATGGTCTGCTGCGATGCACCGTCGCTGCGATTGGTTGGGGTGTGAGGGGGATGGGGTGGAGGGGAAGAGGGAAGGAAGGACAAAAGGAAGGGAAGATGGAGGGAAGGGAAGGTTCCAGTACCCATGGCATGTTGCAACGCAGCAATGCTGCAGGGGTTCGTGTCAGTGGGTGGGGATAGAGATCAGGAACGGTAACAGGGTTTTGAAGGGGTTAAAGAAGGCTAAGGAGGCGTAAAGTGTGGTAAAGATGAGCAAAGGGGGCGGTGGTTGGGTGAACTAGAGCGGTGGTTGCGCGATAAAGCAAACTCACTAGTAGTCCTGGCGGCTGATGGTGGCGACTTTGCTGCCCTTTCTGAACACATCCGTGTATAACTGCCCATGGACGCGTGGGGGCATGGGGGGCATGGGAGCAATTGAGGTCCCCCAAAAGTGCGACTTGCTACCTTTTCTGAACACATCCGAGTATATCTGCTCAGGGGGGCATGCAGGAATGGGGCCACGGGGGCAAAGTATTGTTGGGAATCTTTTGAGAACTCTCAGAATCGACTCCAAGGGGGCCATGGAGGCATGGGGCACCAGGGGCAAGGTATTGTTGAGAATCCTCAATAATACCAAGCATGGGGGCATGGGGTCAAGGGCAGCATGAGGCATGGGCAGCATGAGGCATGGCCAGCATGAGGCATGGGCAGCATGAGGCATGGCCAGCATGAGGCATGGGCAGCATGGGGCATGGGCAGCATGAGGCATGGGCAGCATGAGGCATGGGCAGCATGAGGCATGGGCAGCATGAGGCATGGGCAACAGGGGGGCATGTGAGGGGATACCACACGGGCCCACACCACAGCGCCAGTGCACCTGATTTGCAGCAGTCCACTCATCCCTCACCTGTCGCCCCAGAGTGTGCAGGTGCAGGTGCAGGGCATGAGCTGACTTGCGTCCAGGTCTGGCATTCCACTCCACACACACGAGGCCATACCACCACACAAGGCTATATATATATACTACCACAGGTGCACCTGATTTGCAGCAGTCCACTCATCCCTCACCTGTCGTCCCAGCGTGTGCAGGTGCAGAAAGGACCCAATGATCTTCACACTCTCGTTCTGGAACACGTCAGAGGTGCACTCGCTGGAGCACGAGCTGACTTGCGTCCACGAGGGCATGGCGGGGGGAATGCGGATGAGGTACTCGTAGGAGGCGGGCCCCGCGAGCATGATGGACGCGTCCATGGGGCGCAGCGACGGCGCCAGCTTGAGGTACAGTCCAGAGCTGTCGACGAGGTCAGCGCGGCCCTTGGGATTGGTGAAATGCACCTGAGGGGGACGGGTGGGGTGGGGGTAGAGGGAGGGGAAAGGGAAGGTGTTTGGTATGTGCTTCTGAGGCAAGAGAAGCACAGCACAAGGAAGCCTCCAGAAATGTAGTGAGTTCTGCACCGCACTAAGTCGAACTGCACCGCACTGCACTGCACCCACCTACCTGCAGCACGAACATGGTGAAGTAGCCCGGGCCGATGGGGTAGCCGACATTGGGCGGGAAGGTGAAGGGTCTGCCGCCCACAGCCCACACGGCGACAGTGGTGGGGCATAGCGTGTCGGACTGGTGCGGGCAGTCAAAGTCGCCCCCCGCACTCCTTGCAGTGAGATTGGCGTACTCGTTGCTGTAAGGGGGGAGGAAGAGGGAAGGAAAAGAGCAGAGCACAGGGTGTGTTTGAGTTGAGACCACAGCCCACATGGCGACAGTGGTGGGCCATGGCGTGTCGTGCAGGCAGTCAAAGTCGCCCCCGCACTCCCTGCATTGAGATTGGCGTACTCCTTGCTGTAAGGGGGGAGGAGGAGGGAGAGAGAATTCTAATCTCGGGGTTCACAGAAGTGTCGTGCTAGCCGTAAAAGGAGGTGGGCGGCGGACTGGCGAGCGGCGGGCGGGCATCTATTGCCCAAGGGGGAAATAAAGGGGGAGGGGAGGGAGGGGGGATATGTATCGCTTACGGATTGCAGCCGTAGATGACGGCATGATGGACGGCTGAGATGTCGGTGGAGTTGAGAATGGCACCCCACTCAACCGCATGAGTCTTGGCCTTGAGAGGAATGTCTACCACCTATGGGCGCATAGATGGGCGCAGATGGGTGCAGATTGGTGCAGAACGGTGCAAATGATGGAAATTCGGTGCAGAGAGGGGCATGAGCACGAAAGATGTGCGAGTTTAATTCAAAAACGATGTCTCACGGAATGCGTGCAGGAAAACGGCGCACGCACGGAGCATTGCAGCAGCACTGCGCACCTTGCAGCGATAGGTCGTGAAGTTGGTTGGCAGCCGGTAATTCGTGAACGTGAAATTCAGCATGCTCTCCTGCTGCTGCTGCTGCTGCTGCTGCTGCTGCTGCTGCTGCTGCTGCTGCTGCTGCTGCTGCTGCTGCTGCTGCTGCTGCTGCTGCTGCTGCTGCTGCTGCTGCTGCTGCTGTGCCGGCTGCTTCCCTGCCTGTTGCGGCGCAGCAAGTGACGCAGCGGACGTGGAGGAGGAGGCGGAGGGGGGAGGCGCAGGCGCGAGAATGGACGGGCCTGGGGCAGGAGCGAGCACGATCGCGGAAGCGCCGCGGTCGGAGCTGTGATAGCTGACGTCAGTCGTGGCGCCCATGGCCCAGATGATGTTGTGAAGCTTCCCAGGAACAATCGGGCGGTCGCTGCAGTCGCCCGTGTCCAGCTGGCGCCACACGTGCACGGTGGTCCACGTGTCGCCTGTGGATTGGTTCGTGGTCTGGCTGCCGCCCAGCACGTGCCAGTCCTGCTTGTCGTCGAGTGCGATTCCTTCGGTCGTCTTGTTGAAGATGAAGCGATCCGTCGCATACGCGCGGGCGTCGGACTGTGCGACCCATGCGACGAGGGCATCTGTTCGCACACGAATGCAGCTGGATGAGCGAGAGAACGATGACGGATGAATCGACGGTCTGATCTGATCCCTACATTCCGTAATCGTCGTGTACAATCAATCGTTCAATGGAAAGAAACAACACGAATCACACCTAACCCGACCGTATGGATTTCGTACCTGAGCCCACCATGGATCCAATCTCGGAGATGCCTATACCGAACCACCCCGTCGTCTTGGCATTCACTGCCATGTGGATGGTCGCATCGCTATTGTTAACGGTCCAGTAAAGCTCGTAGCGCGGATCCAGCAACGCTACATTGGAGTAGGAGGAGAGCGACTCGGGAAGAGAAGTCGCGGATGCAGAACGGTTACACAAAACCGTTGAGAATGCCACTGATAGGAGTAGGCAACACGAGGTTATGGGCGAAGCCCTGCAGCCGTGACGTCTGTGCGCCATTATCTCAAGCTCCTGCTGAGATAAAGTGTTTCAGCGAAGGGGATAGATGAATGTTCCTGTCGCTGAACTGCGGTGCGGTCAAAGGAGACCGAGCACGGTCATCAGGGTTCGCACAGCGCCTGCTTAGGCTGTGCTGTGCGTCGAACCGACGGGATTGAGCTTCTCGCGCTGAAGCGAGAGATGGTGGTGGTGAGAGAGTAGTACTGTCACAGGAAATGTCGTAGGTGGATGGATGCGTGTGCCGTGTGGGCCCTGTTCAGCGCGCATCACGCACAGGCCCGGGGACCAGCCACAGAGAAACCACCACCCTCAAATCTTCCTCGATAACTGGTGCTGGATGACAGCGGAGCAGCCTTTTTGGGCCCCATACTGGGAACCGATCGCGCGTTCCAAAAAACGTCCTCTCCTGGCAATCTGCCGCACCACTGATGCCGCGCATAGTGCACCGTCTCGAGGCTGCACCATGCGGGGCAGCCTCGTCAAGCCCGCCAGAAATTATTCAGCGTGCTACCCGCTTTCAGAAACCGAACACCCCCCAACGCCAACATTCCTTCCTTGCTGGCGTGTTTCCCCTCTTTGCTGCTGCGTATAAAGGAGAGGCAATTTGTAGGCCAGGGGGGAGAGAGTGGGAGACACAGGATGCCGAGCCCCGAGTCCTATGGTGTACACAGTGTAAGGAGGTTTCGGATATGGTTGTGCTGATTGGTAGCGTGGATCACGGAAGAGGTTCATGCCACCGTGGCATAGGGCTTCATGTTCATAGAAACCAACCAACATTCCAAAAATGGGGGTTCCTGAAAAGTAGGGTTCGTAGGGTTCACACGCAAAATCAGAAGTAGGGTTTGTAGGAAGTTGATTTTGCGTGTGAAAGATGCTTTCGACGCATCGCGTCGAAAAGAAAACAACGCAAGTAGCCTCGGAAACCTAGAAGTTGCTTGGGCAGGTAGGTGTCAGCCCCACTGGTTGAGAGGCTACATTTGCAGGTTCGGCGCCAAATATCAGCTTCGAGAAATGTGCACAGGTGTCCCATTGGCTCGAAGTATTGATAGAATCTGCGGTGTTGCCGTTTTCACAATTGTAACAAATGTGTGGGTACATTTTGTAGAATCTTTGAATGTGAAACTCGTATAAATTCCAAACTTCAACCTTTTCTATGAGACATAATTTGCTTGGTTGTACATTTGGTACGATTGACGAATCCAGGTTTGTTCGCGATCCTGATCGAGCTGTGGATGTCGCAGTTCATGTTACGAATATCAAATGCTTAAATGTACTGTGCACTCCTGACAGTACCGTAGCAGCAGGGCTGACGATATCAGACTATTTTAGTCTGATTGTCTGAAATTTCAGACTATTTTCCTGACATTCCTGATTTTTCAGAGTTGGCTGGTTTTGAAAAATGAGTGCTTCAGACTAATGGTTTTTTCGATACTGAAAAATTCAGAGAACTTGCTTACCGGATAATGAGTTATCATACTACAGAGTACGAACTCCCCTTCGCCGTACCTGTTACTTGAGGAAAACCCATCCCTCCGAACTTGAGCAAAAGGTTCGTTAGTAGGAAAACCTGCCTTAGTCTCTGAATTATAAAATTTTCAGAGTTATACTTCTCTGGTTCCTGAGAAATCAGAGTATTCACTTTTTGGAAAATGGGCCTCAGACTAAAAAAAATTGGGGGGCCAAAAAAAACAGAGTGGTTTTATTCGAAAAGTCAGCCCTGCGTAGCAGCGAAGCACGCAGTGAAGAGTACGAAGACAAAAAGACAGATTGACCGATACGTGGCGTACGGTTACGAAACATCTGGACCGTCAATGCAGACAGCATCGGGAAGCTGCAGTGGCAAATATTCTGCCGGAAACCGTTCGTAACTTGCAAAACATCCTCTGCACATAAGACACACCATTGATTTCAAGCCTCACTCTACCCTCCCAGCAACCTCTCGATGGCTGCTTGCACGTTGCCCCCAGTGGCCCTGAGTGCAGCAATGTTGTCCTGCTCGTTGCCAAACCCCATGTCCCTCAGCTGCCCCAGCTGCGTCGCATAAAACTCCTCCGGCGCTACCCCAGGCGGAGGCACCACCCCTCCTCCCAACCCTCCCAACCCTCCCAACCCAGCCAGCCCTCCCAGCCCTCCCAGACCTCCCAGGCCCCCTCCCCCTGCCGCTGCTGCAGCCATGGCTGGGCCCATGAGAGTTCGCATGAGTGCATCCAGATCCCCCACGCCCCCCGCACCTGCTCCCCCTCCTGCTGCTCCTGCTGCCCCTGCTCCACCTGCTGCCCCTGCTCCACCTGCACCCCCACCTGCTGCTGTCTCCGCACCACCAGTCGCCCCTGCTGCCCCTCCCCCCGCCCCTCCCCCCATGAGGCGCCTGACCATGCCCATGCTGCCAACCAGCTGCCCCTCCGCCACGCCCGCTCTGGTCAGCCCCTCCAGCCCCTCGCCACTCAGCATCCCCCGCAGCGCGGCAGCATCCCCCAGCAGCGAGCGCAGCGCCTCGTTGCCGTCCACCTGCCCCTGCAGCAGGGCGCTCGCCCGCACGGCCTCCGTTACAAATGCAGGGTCGCCCAGGCGCTCCTCCAGCTGCTGGGGCACCCCCGGCAGGCGCAGCAGCAGGTGCAGCAGCAGCAGCGAGCGCAGCACGGCGGGCGGGTGGGAGGAGAGGTCAGCCAGGGCGATGGGCGGGAAGGGCAGGTTCACCGTGTTCAGCCCTGGTAGCCCCCCGCCCAGCCCCGCAGGGGCGGCGCGCTGGGTGCCTGCTCCTGGTGATGGTAGTGGGGTGACGATGGGAGTTGGTGAAGGCGAGAATGGGGGTTGGGGGTAAATGGAGGGGGGATAGGGAAGTCAACTGAGGGGAGATAGGGAAGTGAATAGAGGCCGGATAGGGAAGTGAACAGAGGGGGGATAGGCAAGTGAATAAATGGGGCATAGGGAAGTAATAGAGGGGAAATAGGGAAGTTAATAGAGGCGGAATAAAATGGAGGTGGGTGAGAAAGAGAGGTACACAAATTGGAACCGCGAGGTCAAGAAGGTGACGAAACACGGTCATGAATGCATACACGACGGGAGCATGTGGCATGTGGGTGGGAAGAAAGGTAGGTGAGATCGAAACTGCAAGGACAGGCAGGTGAAGAAACAGGATTGCCCATGCGATGAAAGGGTGTGGCAGGCAGCAACGGTGGTTTGAGTGTGAAAGGGGAGCAAAAGGATGGCAGTGGCTTGATGGATGACAAAATTGTGCAGTCACACAGAACAGCACAAGAGCACAATATTAGACCACAGCACAGCGCAGCACAGAGCACAGCACAGAATAGCACAGAACACAGCACAGCACAGAGCATAGCACAGCACAGAGCATAGCACAGCACAGCACAGAGCATAGCACAGCACAGAGCATAGCACAGCACAGAGCATAGCACAGCACAGAGCATAGCACAGCACAGAGCATAGCACAGCACAGAGCATAGCACAGCACAGAGCATAGCACAGCACAGAGCATAGCACAGCACAGAGCATAGCACAGCACAGAGCATAGAACAGCACAGAGCATAGCACAGCACAGAGCATAGCACAGCACAGAGCATAGCACAGCACAGAGCATAGCACAGCACAGAGCATAGCACAGCACAGAGCATAGCACAGCACAGAGCATAGCACAGCACAGAGCATAGCACAGCACAGAGCATAGCACAGCACAGAGCATAGCACAGCACAGAGCATAGCACAGCACAGAGCATAGCACAGCACAGAGCATAGCACAGCACAGAGCATAGCACAGCAACAGCACAGAGCATAGCACAGCACAGAGCATAGCACAGCACAGAGCATAGCACAGCACAGAGCATAGCACAGCAAAGAACATGACAGAACACAGCAACAGCATCACACAGCTCCCAAGCTCACCTCCACCACCCCACGGGTTGGGCAGCGGAGCCGTGTTCGCCGGCCCACCAGCCCCCTCCGTCCCTCCTGCCCCCGTCTCCCCACTCCCCCCCGTCCCCGTTGCCCCCCTCCCCGCACCGCCCCCCACACCACCACCCCCAGTGGCAGCATCCATGAGCGGCTCCTGCACGTTATGGTACATGTTGCGCAGCATGTTGAACCCGCCCGGCATCGCCTCAATGTTGCTCATCGCGCGGTCGGTCGTCCTCATCATCTCGCGCATGAGCTCGGGGTTCCGCGCCGCCTCCATGGTCTGCCGCAGCACGGCGGGGTCGTTGAGCACGTGAGCCAGCTCGGGGTTGCGCTCCATGAGCTGCTGCATCTGCGGGTTGGCGGCCAGCATGGAGCGCATCACCTCGGGGTTGTCCATGAGGGCGCGCACGGCGGGCAGGTTCATCATGTCGCGGATCATCTCGGGGTTCTGCAGCATCTGCTGTTGGAACTGCTCCAGCCCGGGCAGGCCTCCGCCTGCGCCGTTGTCCAGCCCCAGCCCCCCCAGCCCGCCCAACCCGCCGAGTCCTCCCAGTCCGCCCAGTCCGCCGAGTCCGCCCATTCCGCCTAGGCCTAGGGGGTCCGCGGCCCCGCCTCCGCCCAGCGCCGCCGCCAGCAGGTCCGGGGGGACGCGCTGCGCGCCTCCGGCGGCGGGCGCGCCTGCTGCTGCTGCGGGGTTCGCGGAGGGCGTGGTGGATGTGCCTTGTTGCGCGGCGGCTGGCTGCGCCGCGGATGAGGGGGACGCCGCCGCTGCTGCTCCCCCGCCGCCCCTGACGAGGTGCAGCGTGGAATCCGCCTCTATGCCTGTGGCGCGGAGGGGGGGGTGACGGGGGAGATGAGGTAGGAACGGGAGACAGTGGAGTGCATGGGATGGGATGGATGGGATGGGATGGATGGGATGGGATGGATTTGATGGGATGGGATGGGATGGGATGGGATGGGATGGGATGGGATGGGATGGGATGGGATGGGATGGGATGGGATGGGATGGGATGGGACGTGATGGGACGGGATGGACTGGGATGGGACGGTATGGGACTGTATGGGTCAGACGGAGAAACTGATAAGAGTCCGGTGTTGGGTGGTAAGCGGCAGGTAAATTCGTGAGTGAGACGCGCGACAAGCGGCGATGGGGCGCCGCGGTGCGAACGGGCGGAGGGACGGAGAAACGCGGGGACGGCGGGTCAGATCGCGAAGGGACCAAAGCACGGGGGAGCAACCACGCGGGGAGGTCAACGTGGATCCCTCCCCTTCCCGTTCCCGCTTCCAATTCCCCTCTCCCCCTCCCGGCACTGAACACGCGAGCGCGTCATACTGACGCTCCTCCAAGTCACTCGCGTCTCAAGGAAGGAGCCGGAGTTGCGGCAGCGCGGAATTCACGCACGGAGTAAAAGAGCTGAAGGGAATCCGTTGCGGCAGACTATGCGAACCCTGAGACGTGCAATATTATCGCGTGCGATCCTGACGATGCCGGCGATTTGTTGGCCGGTCCCTACGAATTCGTCGAATCTCGTCGAATGGTTGGACTCGACAACGCCGGATGCTACGACACTGCTTCACCCAGCCCTGCACGCTCTGCACACCTTTCCACCGCGCTAAGCCCCACGGCTATCCTCGTCTACATCGCTCTACGCACATCTACACGGCTCTCCGGCGAATCGCAAACAGCTTTCTAAACGCCGATTGCATCCGAACCGCAGACGACACGTAACCTCGGCAGCGTACCGCAACTCTCGAGGGTGACGTCATCCTTGAGAATCCGTCCTTTGAAGATTAACCGCTGCTGCGGCACGGCGATACCCGACTTGTCGACGAGCTGCTCCTTGAGCTGGCGCACCGTGGCCGTCAGATCCACCTCCAGCGAGTACTTGACGTTCGACAGATGCTTCACGTGAATCTCCACCCCCATCGCCGCGATCGCTCGTCGGAGGAGAAGAGATGATGACGAGAGGCGATGGGATACTGCACTTGCAAATCTAGAAACACTCCCTTCACGTGGAATAACAGCACCCTTGATCCACAAACATAAAACCAAATTGATATAAGTTTGACGTGACTCTCCGTCACGTGGAGCAATAGCTCAGTGGTAGAGCAATCGACTGCAGATCGATAGGTCCCCGGTTCAAATCCGGGTTGCTCCTGATGACATCTTTTGAGAATGTCGTTTGTGATGACCACATGTAAGGAATTTTCTGGCATTCTTTTCCGCTCTCTTCAACATCGCGTAAGGAATTTTCTGGCATTCTTTTCCGCTCTCTTCAACATCGCGTACAGCAGCAACCGTTGTTCGCCAGTTACTACTAGCGGCCTGGCCTGGCCGAGAACCCGCCTTCTCGTCACTGGAGATTTCTCTGGGGCCCGGGCCGGGCCCCAAACCTGTTTCGGACTATTCCTAACCGGTTTCGGGAATTCCGAGTCGAATTAGAACAGCAGGCCCCTAATCAATATTGCCTGGATGAATACCCACCTTGCCTAAGGCAATCACGGCTTCAGCTCTTTCAGTTCAGGCATTGTAACACACAGAAAGTGATACGGAATTCCCTTCTGCATGAACAACGGGATGCCTTATTCAAGACCACATTGAATAGCTTAGATTAGACCATGCATATTGATCATGCTACACACATCTGTCAGAATCCCAACCAGCGTGACCGCTCACTCACTCAGCTTCTGAACCAGTTAAAGCCACCGAGAGTGCCATGTGCAGTGGCACCGGGGAGTTTGAGTCTGCCTGCCTGCTGGCTCCTCTCGAGCATCATCGCCAGCTCCACCACCAACGGCTGCAGCGAGGTGTCGACTACCATGACCGTCCCACGCTGGGTGCCTGCTGTGGCAGCATGGCAGCATGGCAGCATGGCAGCATGGCAGCATGGCAGCATGGCAGCATGGCAGCATGGCAGCATGGCAGCATGGCAGCATGGCAGCATGGCAGCATGGCAGCATGGCAGCATGGCAGCATGGCAGCATGGCAGCATGGCAGCATGGCAGCATGGCAGCATGGCAGCATGGCAGCATGGCAGCATGGCAGCATGGCAGCATGGCAGCATGGCAGCATGGCAGCATGGCAGCATGGCAGCATGGCAGCATGGCAGCATGGCAGCATGGCAGCATGGCAGCATGGCAGCATGGCAGCATGGCAGCATGGCAGCATGGCAGCATGGCAGCATGGCAGCATGGCAGCATGGCAGCATGGCAGCATGGCAGCATGGCAGCATGGCAGCATGGCAGCATGGCAGCATGGGAGCATGGCAGCATGGCAGCATGGCAGCATGGCAGCATGGCAGCATGGCAGCATGGCAGCATGGCAGCATGGCAGCATGGCAGCATGGCAGCATGGCAGCATGGCAGCATGGCAGCATGGCAGCATGGCAGCATGGCAGCATGGCAGCATGGCAGCATGGCAGCATGGCAGCATGGCAGCATGGCAGCATGGCAGCATGGCAGCATGGCAGCATGGCAGCATGGCAGCATGGCAGCATGGCAGCATGGCAGCATGGCAGCATGGCAGCATGGCAGCATGGCAGCATGGGAGAGAGAGAGAGAGCAAGAATAATTAAGAAAACGTAGAGGAGGGGGAAGCGTGGGAGGGGATATGAGGGGATCCAGACTGCCATGTGAGCTGGAAGGACCGTCTGTAAGGGCTACGAGAGCATGCAGCAGCACTTGAATCAGTGCCGTACCTTCCACTGCTCCCCACCAATGTTCCCACCCAGACGTGCCACCCTCATCGCTTCCATCCTCAATCATGTGCTTTCCACCCAATCATAACAGCACCATCTCTTGCTTTCATTCACACCCAAGCTAGCCACTGCCCACCTCCTTCGCCCCCCTCTCCTCCACCTCCTGCTCTCCTTGCTTCTTTTCCACCCACACGTCCTCATCCATGCTTCAACTATATCCTGCGCGTGCAACCACACCACCCACCCCCTCTCACCTGTGCCTGGCATCTGCTGCAGCGCACTCGCAAATCGGTTCACCCGCATGGCGCCAGCTGGCAGCGCCATCGTGCTGCCACCTGTCATGAGCAGGTGACTCGGGTTGCGCCACAGCACCCGAGCCACCAGGTCCGGCCGGACCACAGGCACGACCCGAGCCTGAGGACTGAGGGACACGCCGTCAGAGTGGTTGGTGCGGCGCTGGTATCGCTGGATGAGGAGAGCAGAGGCGTTCTGAGGGGTTGGGAGGGGTGGGGGGCGGGGGTGGGGGAGGATTGGGGAAGGATGGGAGAGTGGAGGGAAGACGTCAGGGTGAGGGATGGTGAACGGGGGTTTTGGGGTGGACGGGGTGTTGGCGGAGAGATTGGACGGGGTGGGGGGGATGAGGAAAGGTGCGAGAAATGGGAGGATTGGAAGGCCAATGTGGGCGAACAGACATGTGCATCTCGGCATGTGGACTAGCGGGACAAAAATGCAGCTAGAAAATCTTGAGCAGAAAAAAGGAACGGGAGGCAGCACATGGGAGGAAAGGCATTGAGGAGTTGTCAGAGGAGGGGAGGATGGCACGCATTGGATGTATCCAAGGCGGTGGGAGGAGGAGGGAGCAATCATGGTATGCGAGAGAAACAGTAAGGAAGGCGAGAGATGAAGAGAGTTGCGCGGTCTGGGATGGGACTTGTGAGGCACCTGGAGAGGGGACCTGTGGAGCACCTGGAGAGGTACCTGCGGGAAACCGAGGAAGAGAAAGGTTTGCAGCAGCAGCTGGGACGCGGATGGGCGGCGGGCCTCGTAGGCACGCAGGAAGCGGTCGGCGAAGCCCGGCTTGATGTCGGGCGGCACAGAGAGGTAGTCCACCGGGGTGAGCGGCAGCAGCCAGACAACAGAGCTGCCGTGGTGCGTGAGGCAGTGGTGCAGCGCCTGGTGGGGATGGTGAGGACGGGGTTGGGGGGGAAGAGGGATGTGTAACACGCATTGAGGTGCCGCGCCGCTGTGGAGTGGTGTGGTGGGGTGAGTGGCAGCAATCACACAGTCGTGGAGGTGCTGTGGTGGGTGAGGGGCAGTGGTGCAGTGTCTGAGAGGGAAGGTGAGGAAGGGGGGGGGGGGGGGGAGGGAGGATGTGGTAGGCGTGTTTGCAAGCAAGTGGTGCAGTGGAGGCAGGCAGGTAGTCGGGGTTGCTGGTGTGCAATGGTGCAGGGATGGATGGAGGGTAGGAGATGCGGAGAGGACAGGGAGGCGTGGATTGATGCTGCTTGGTGACGAGGCACGCTGCGCTGCTGTACTGTGTGAGGGTGACTGAGGTGCCAGGTGTGCGTGGAGAGGAGGGGCGACAATGAGCAGGAGGACGGGTGCGGAAGGGACAGGAGTGGCGAGCGGTGGGGAGGGAAGAGGGGTGGGGAGGAAAGACGGTTGGGGCAGGGAGAGTGGCGAAAAGCGAGCAATGCGTGGCAGTGGTGGTTGTGGTGTGCACAGGAGGCAGGCATGGGGCGGGGGGGAAACAGTGGAGCACAGGGAAACCACCTACAGTGAGGAGGGTGAGCGGCACATGTGTGCAGTGCAGGGGGGCAGCGCACCTGGTCGCGGGGACTGGCCCCGTGGTGGGCGGGCAGGGAAGGCGCGAGCGAGGGGAAGTGGTGGTACGTGATGAAGCCGTCCCGCTCGTACCGCTCCAACGCCGCCTCCTGCCACACATGGTGAGCGCGGTGAGAGGGGTGAGGTGAGGGGTTGAGAGAGAGGTGAGAGGGGTGGTGGGGTGAGAGGGGTGGGGGGGAGGGTGGGCAAGAGGGAGAGGTGAGGGGTTGAGAGAGAGGTGAGAGGGGTGGTGGGGTGAGAGGGGTGGGGGGGAGGGTGGGCAAGAGGGAGAGGTGAGAGGGGTGGGGGGGAGGGTGGGCAAGAGGGAGAGGTGAGAGGGGTGAGAGGTGGGGGGGGGGGGGGGGTCTGGGCTAGTGAGGGATGGGGGCGAGAATGGTGGACACGGTTTTCTCAACATGCATACTCTTCATCCCTCCCTCCCCACCACTCACTCTGCTCTCCCCACCACTCCCCACCACTCACACTATTCTCCCCAACCTCCCCACCACTCACACTGCTCTCCCCACCACTCCCTATGCCATGCGCACCACACGGCTCACCATGCGATCCCGCGGGTCGTCCGCCATGTCGTACCAAAACACGTGCGCCACGCCGCTGTAGCGGGCGAACTCCAGCCACTGCGGGCACCGGAAGGAGGGTGCAGGGGGGGGATGGGGAGGGGAGGGGTGGCGAGAACGCAAGGAGGCGGGCGAGTGGCGAGTGGTGAGAGGCAGAATGGAGCGACGCACACATGGGAGAAGCAGGGCACGTGGTGACGGGTGCGGAATGGTGCACGCGGTGCAAGCACAAAGTGCAAGCACAAAGTGCAAGCACAAAGTGCAAGGGGCTTGGAATCACTCGGTCATGCAGAACTAGAGAGTCACCTTATGAGCATGAGAGGGCACCTGCAAGGTATGAAAGGGCAGGTGAAAGGCATCTTGAAAGCGCACCTAAAAGGCACGAGGCGCACCTGGAAGGTTCAAGGCGCACCTGGAAGGCACGAGGCGCACCTGGAAGGCACGAGGCGCACCTGGAAGGCACGAGGCGCACCTGGAAGGCACGAGCATGAGGGCACACCTGGAAGGCACGAGGCGCACCTGGAAGGCACGAGCATGAGGGCACACCTGGAAGGCACGAGCATGAGGGCACACCTGGAAGGCACGAGGCGCACCTGGAAGGCGTCGGAGACGGAGAAGTCGAGGCGAGGCCACGTCTGCATGGCGTGGGCGACGTGCACCGCCACGTACCACTGCCGCCCCGCTCCTGATGGCCCCTGTGCTGTTGCCCCGCCCTTCCCACTCACCTCCCCCCCGGAGGTGCTGATGCACAGAGCCGTTTGGGCAGGCGGGGAAGGTGGCAGGCACGAGGCGGGACAGAGCAGGTGGGAGCGATGTGTGAGAAGAGGCACCACGGGTGAGAGTTAATGAGTCGATTCAAGAATGGGAGACATTCAAAGGATCGGACGGCACAGGGAATGGAACAGCAGCTGGGGAAAAGGAAGAGCTGAAGAGCATGGCTGAGACAAGGGGAACCATGAGTACGGCACTGTGACCAGCAACTTAGGTAATAGGTAGCTTCCACTTTTGCTGGTGCGCAGCACATTAATTTCATTTCACCAACCAGATCGAACCACAACCGCAACAATGTTTGTGCGACTCACAGGCTATCTCCGTGCAGGAGCGGTGCCGCCGTGCCCACATGCACCTCCAGCCCCGCCTGCTCGTCCCACTCGCCCATCCGCTTGCCCGCACTGCTCGCCTCATACACGTCCGTGCCTCGCCGCCCCGCCTCACTCGCTCCCGCTGCACGCCCCAGCGCCACTCGAGGCAAACCCTTTCCTCTCTCGCCCCTCCCCCTCCCCCACCTGCGTCTCCCTGGCGTCAACCCTGCCCCTTGCACCCTTCTCCCCTCCCCTCCCCACGTCCTCACCTCCCCTAGCCCCACTCCCCCCCCGCCCTCTCCTTGCTCCCCACCTCCGCCATCCCCCCCTCCCCACGCCCACAAGGCAGTGAGGGAGGCGAGAGTGGCAGCGAGCAGCAGCAGCGCCAGGGCTGCAAGGCCGCCCTGCAGCAGCAGGGAGCGCCGGGGCTGCAGCCGCCACAGCTGCCACTGCACCGCCCACCACCCTGCCTTGCCTGCTCGCCGCCTCCTCCCCTCGGCGCCTCCTACCTCCGGAGAGCACGCCCTGCCCTTCCTCTCCCCTGCTCCGCCTCTCCCCTCTCCCTCGCCCCGGTCGCTGCCTGAATCCTTCTCGTTCCCCCCTCCGGCCTGTCTTCCCCGCCGCAACCCTCTACTGCCAGGTGCCCCTCCCCTGCCCCCCCCCGGCCCTCCTCTCAACGCATGCACGCCTCCCTCCCCTCCTGCCCCTCCCCATCCCCACCCCGCCGCTCCTCCCCATCCCCCTCCCCATGGCCCAACCCCTGCCCCTCCCCATGCCCCTGCAGCGGTGCCTTGAGGGGGCTGAATCGCGTGTGGGGGCGGACCAGGGCTGCCTGTGAGGGGGGTGTGCGACCCAGAAGCAGGGGCAACAGCGGTGGCAGCAGCAGCAGCAGCGGCAGGGAGGGGGTGGTGAGCGGCAGGGTAAGCCCCCTGGGCGGCATGTGAGTGCGCGCCGTGCTGCTGCCAGGGGTCATGTGGGTGCGAGCCGTGCGCTGCAGGTGAGGGGTGTCCCCCCTGTGCCTGCCTGCCATGTGTCTGCCAGGGATCGTTGGGGCGTTGGTGCTCCCAGGGGTGCTGGAAGGCTGGGTGGGGCCGTGCGTAGTGGTGAGGCGCGGGAGAGGGGTACTGCCCCCACGCTCCTGGCGAGGCTTCACATTCCCACTCCTGCCGTGACTCCCCTGCCCTCTCGCCCTCCCTCGCCTCCCCCTCTGATGCACCATCGCTGCCCTCTCTGCTCCCCTCCCCTTTGCTGCCCTCCTCATCCTCCCCATCTCCTGAACCCACACTCCTCTCTTCTCCCGATTCCCCACTTTCTCCATCCCCGCCGTCCCCTTCCTCACTCCCTGCTCCCCCCGCCTCCACACTCCCGTCCCCCCCCTTAACACTCGCCCTCTCCTCAACACCCCACCCTGCCGCGCCACTGCGGTCGCCTCCAGGGCTCCACGCCTCGTCCTCGTCGTACCCCGACGCCCTGCCATGCACCACGGGCCGCCCCCGCCGCCGCACCTTGAACCCGGCTGTCGTCAGCCCCGTCGTCATCACGCCCTCCACTGCCACGCCTGCCCCTGCCACCCCTGCTGCCCTCGCCGCCTGTGTCTCCGCCCCTCCGATCGCCGTCCCTGCAAGCGCCGCTCCGCTGCCCGCACTGCCCTCCCTCTCCTGCCCGCCCACTGCTGCGCCCCCATTTCCCTCTCCTGCATCCCCCACGCTTGACCGCCTTGGCTGCTCCGCCCCTCCACCAGTACCAGCAGCAGAAGCCCCAGCAGTAGAACCGGAAGCACCAGCAGCAGAACCGGAAGCACCAGCAGCAGCAGCAGCAGGGCCGTGAGAAGCACCCAGCTCCGCCACCCCGTTAGATCCCACTTCGCCCTCTCCCCTCACAACGCCGCTGTAATGCCCTGCCTCATGCGCCCCTGCCCATTCCACTTCCCCATATGTACCCTCCCCATACCCCTCTGCCCCATATCCTCCTTCCCCATAAGCCCCTGCCCCATACCCCCCTGCCCCGTACATCTCACCACCTCCTCCCCCATGTGTGCCGTATCCTCCCCCCGTATACATGCCATACCCCCACCCTCCCACCTCCTCCCCCATGCCCAATGGGTAGCCCCCATACCCCCCCACGCCCCATTGCTGCCGCGCTTCCCCCCCCTCCCCCGCACCTTCCTCCCACCTTTCTTGTTCGCCTCGCCCCACATCCCCGCCTTTCTCCCCCGTTCCGCCCTTTCTTCCCCCAAACAACCGCCACCAGACTCCGCCCTTCTTCCCCTTCTCCTCCGCCTCCCCGCCTTCCCCTTCGGCCTGCCCCATCTCCCCATTCCCCCGACGGCGCAGAGAGTCCCCCATGCCTTCCCCACCGTGCCCCGCGATGCCCCCAAGAGCTCCCCCTTCCCCCCTCCCCTCCCATCCACTTCCTTCTGCATATCCCCATTCCGCTCCCATTGCTCCTCTATGCCCGTCCCCTGCCTCCATGCTTCCCCCGTATCCACCCCCGTAGCTTCCCCCATACCCTCCGCCGTATCCCCAGCCAACTTCCCCGCCCCCGTACCTCCCAGCTCCCCGTCCCCCGTATGCCCGTCCGTAAATCTCCTCAGGCGGACACCCGCCGCCTCCGCCATACCCCTCTCTGCCAGTTGCGCCGTAACCCTCGCCGCCGTACATTCTTCCGCCATTCGGTGCGCCATAAGCCCCGCCGCGAGCCTCCTGCTCTCCGCCGGGTTCCGCCTGGCCAAGTCGCGGAGCCTCCCCGCCATCCGTGGCTAAAGCGCCATCGGCTTCCGCGCTCCCCGGACCCTGGCGCAGGGCAGCGGGCGGGGAATTCCCCCCACGTTGGGAACGTGGCGCTCCTCCCGCCGCCTTCCACATGGCGGAAAGACGCAGCAGCGCCGCCACCCGCGCGCGCCAATCGCTCAGCGTCGTATCAACGCAGTGCCGCTAGCAACACAACGGAGACGAGGTTATGCGAGGTGACGACGCGGAAAATGAAGGCACACGAATTGCTGGAATTGCTGATGGATGTTTGTGGACGTGGGACGCGCATGTCACAGCGAAATCTGCTCGTAACTCTTCCTACCTAACCCAAACCTCAACCAAACTCGTCTAAACGGTGTTGTACAACATGAACTATGAACTAAGGGCGCGTAACTTTTTCACCTTTCATCGTCCGGACGGAGGCCCCGTCCGGACTTCTGTAGGGTAACTGATTTCGTAGCAGTCCGTTTAGATGTTCGCAAGACCCCCTGCGACGTCGCTACCGTCCGGACACAATCTGACACTTTTTCGCCAAAAAGTGGTCCGGACTAACCTGCTGACTCCGTCCGAACGGCATTTCGGACGGTCCGTTTTGTCTGCGCTGTGATTCGGCCACGAAGTGAATGATTTTCCAACCAATAGGATGCCGTCAAATTTTGGTGGCGAAATCTCCAAGTCCTATACGATTTCTGTAATGCGTGTTATTATTCGTGGCGAGATTCTACATTTACGATAAGGGAAAAAGTTGCACAATTGTGGTCCGGACGCCCTATTGTCCGGACCTGCTTCCCAAACGTCCGGACGGAGCTCCGTCCGGCCGGTTTGGAGGCTCCGTCCGGACATTTGACGAAAATGGAAAAAGTTACGCGCCCTATGGGCGATAACTTTTTGCTTTTTGACGGTCTGAACTGTGTGCGAATAGGGTATCCCGCTAACGGTCCTGGTCGTGTCAGCTCGTTATCGAATTGAAGGCCATGCGAGGATCAACGAAAGGGGATAGAGGCAGCGGTCGACCTCGCGCCAGCGCTGGTCGCTCCTCACCGTCAAACCGCTCCCCAACTTGCTGCACGCGAAAACGATGTCCGGCCTCGTCGATGTCGCCCAAACTGCAGCGAGCCGGCCTTCTGTCGGTATTCCTCCTCCTCGTGCGCCTGAGCATCTTCATCGTCGAACGTCAGCTCAGCGTAGGCGTAGGCGGAGACCGGTGTCTTCGGGACCCGCCCGGTCTGCTCCTCGTCGATGAAGCGCGTGGGCAGCTTGTCGACGTTCGACTGCTGGTGTAACCACAGCTTCCTCGCCGGTCGGTCGCGCACGATCTCTACCCCAAGGTACTTCTCGACGGGGCTCATCTCGCGCAGCTCGAAGGCAGCCTCCAGCAGCTCCTTCAGCGCCTTCAGCATCGAAGTGCTGCTGCTGGCAGCGAGCAGATCGTCAACGTAGACGAGCGCCCAGCACGTCACTCCGTGGTCGCCGACCTTGAAGAACGGCGCATCATCGACATGGCTCTTCTTCCAGTCGGCGCCAGTCAGCACGTCGTCGAGCACCTTGTACCACAACAGCGGCGACTGCTTCAGCCCGTACGAACTCTTCAGCAGCTTGCACATCCGGCCGGTATTGTCATCGTAGTAGTCCAGCTGGCAAATGTATAGCAACCTATCCAGCTTTCTCTACAGGAAGGCGCTTTTCATGTCGAGCTGCATCAAGTTGAGGTCGAGGACAGCGACAATGCTGAGGAAGATCCTCAGTGTGATGTAGCCGCTGACCGGCGCGTACGTCTCGTCATAGTCGGCGCCATACACCTGCGTGAAGCCCTTCACGACCAAGGGCGCCTTCTCGTGGACAACCATGTCGTCGACGTGGTACTTTGTTATCAGCACCCAGCGGTTTTTCATGATGTTTACACCGCGCAAGTGTTCGACCAGCTCCCTCGTGCCTATGCTGACAAGGCTGTGGATCTCCGATCCATGGCGGCATTCACCGCCTTGCCCTTCCAGCTCGCCAACGCCTCCTTCACCGTCATCGTTGCGATATCTCAGCGGTGGTCGAGGAGGCGTGCACATCGAGGTCGAGCTCTAGCAGTTCAACATCGACCTCATCGTCATCGAGCAGTGTGGTGAAGGCGGCTGGTGGAAGACAGGCGTGAAAGATCAGCCACTCCGGCGGCTTCCGAGTTCGACCCAAGCGTTGCATTTCCAGCTTCTCGGCCATAATCTCCACCACGTCGCTATCGTTAGACTCCTCCCTTGCTGACGGCGGCTCTGCATCATCGACATCCTTGTCGTCGACGAGCTGCTTCGCTAGCATCAGCCCCTTGACCGACTGCTTCCCTCCCATCGGCCCGCTTGCCGACCTTGCTTTCGTCGACACCTCCCTTGTCGACTGTCCCGTCTGATGCTCCCCCGTCGGCAGCACTTCTGCAGGTACCCCCTTCTCCACCAGCGCCCCTGTCTGCTGCTCCCCTGTCGACAACGGCTTTACGTCCTCGTTGACGAGCTTGCCGCCTTGTCGGCTGCCGTCGATGTCACTGACCGGCGCCACAGGCGGCGCCTCAAAGCTCCCCTCATCGTCAGCGGGCGACAACAGCGTCGACCCATGCAGAAAACGACGGGGGTGGGGGTAGCAGAAACAGGAGGAGGAGGAGGAGGGGGTGGGACTTCCTCGAAGTCCTCATCAGCAGGCTCGTCGACCACAGCGAGCAGCGGGAACTTCGCCGTCGAGGTGTGCGTCGGCGAGTGTGCCTGCGTCCGCCCCGACGCCGGCCCATACTTCGCCTTCCACGCCTCTAGCGACAACGTCTCGTAGAAGATGACCTCGACCGACGTGACCACCTTGTTGTCAGTCAATTCAAGCACCTCCCAGCCCTTGCTCTCCGGCAACACCTCCAGGTGAAATCCCCAGCGAGCCTTCGGCGCCAGCTTCGTCTGCAGCTCCAACAGCAGGAGTCACTTCTCAAACTCCCGCAGCACGTTGCTTTTCTTAGCGACCAGTTTCACCCACACGAATCGAATGTGGTGGTCCTTCAGCAGTAGGAAAAACAGGCTGTTATCCTTGGCAGCATCCTAGCCCGCACAAGTCAATGCGCATGACAGCCAGAGCATCCTCGGCGTCCGAGCCTTTGTCGGGAAACGTGTGCCGTGCCAGCTTCCCTCCGACGCACGAGACACGTGGCAAGTTGGCCTCGGTCGAGGGCTTGATGTCGAGGCCGGTGGCAACTTCATTCTTCGCCAAACTCTTGATCGTGTCGATGCCGACGTGCGCAAGCCTCGCTTGCTATCGGTTGGTGACTTCGTCGCTGAGGCGATTTTCCGGAGAGCCACCACCTCGGTCGACGGCGATCGCGTCGAGCGTCGGTGCAGAGGACGCGTCCAGTGTAGCATGCTCCACTGAGCACCTTGCCTGCACCCGACACAAGCAGCTGCTCGTCGCCGTCGTCCTGCAGCTTCACACCGCTCTTTTGGAGCTGGCCGGCTGACAGCAAGTTTGCCTGCACCCTTGGAACGTAGAGCATTTCGGGGATGAGGACCTCCCCTTGCAGAGCGACAGTTCCGCGGCCCTCGACGGCCTGCAAAGCCCCGTTGAAGCCGCGCACAAGCTTCACATCGCTGCTCGGTGACATGTCGTCGAAGACTTCTTTCGTTCCCATGAGGTGGTGCGAGCAGCCGGTGTCGAGCAGCACCACCATCAGATTCGTTTGCAAGGCGTCCGCGACCGCCTTGAAGTCCTTCCCAGTTTCTTTCGCAAGCGAGACTGTCAGCTCCACCACGCCGACCATCGAGCACGACGCCTCCCCGTTGCCTCGGCCCTTGCCGTTGGAGGTGTCGACGTCCTCGTCGACGGCGTCTTCTTCGACGTCTGCTTCTCCTTGCGTGACATCTCATATCGACACGGACGACGACTGGCCGAACGCCCGTGGCCTCCTTTGTTGTCGTCCTCATCGTTGTCGTCGCGGTTTCGGCACTTGAAGAAGGGATGGTCGGGGTCGGAGCAGATCCAGCACTCCCGCCGTTGACCACCACCTCCACGACCCTTGTCCCACGTCGACCTCTTCTCGTCGACGTCCTTCGTCGACCGCCCACCTCTGCAACCACCTCCGCCCAGCTTCCCGCGCTACCCCTGGCGACGACTCGATTCATCGGGGCGGCGTAGCTCGCCTGCGGAAGGAGCTTCGTGGGCAGTTCTTCCTCTTGCATCGCCTCATCTCTGATGATGTAGCTGGTGAGGGTGTCCTCGTCGAGTAACTCATGCGTGCCAGGCACCACCAGCAGTCGGCGCGTGAGGTTGTAGCTGCTCGGCAGACCCTTGACGGCGTATTGTCAAGTTAAAAAACTAGAAGTGTTGACTAAGGAAAGTGAAAACAAGCAAGATATAGCAAGCATAACCCTAACCCTAGGAAAACATTAAGTACACCTAGACTAACACAAATAAGCTATAACAAATATAGCTTGACACACCCCCATAGTCTATGTGACGGTAGTCCTGTGGAAAGCAACACACAGCAAGGGTCACAGGACCAGTTCGCAAAAAACACAACAAATCTCGGGGTGGATCTCAAGATCACCACACAGTCCGAGAACAAGCGAGGGGCCACAAGGCCAGTCCACATGCAAGGATATAGCAAATAAAGAAGATGCAAGAGTACACGACAAGCATCTCTTCAGAAGCACAAGGCCAGAAGGCCAGTCTAGATGCATATATATATAGCAAATATAAAGAGATGCCAGAGTACAAAGCAAAGCATCTCTACACAAGCAAGTGAGGGCCTGTAGACACAAGGCCAAGCTGGGTGCAGAAACGCTGGTGGTCACAAGGCGGCAACGCCTTGGTGAAGATATCTGCAGTGTTGGCCTCAGAGACCACATGTACCACGCGTGCCTGGCCACGCTGCTGCAACTCACGCAGAAGGAAGTAACAAAGCTGGATGTGCTTCGCCTTCCCAACCAGTCGAGGCTCCTCACACAACAGGACAACAGACCTGTTGTCGGCGAACAAGACTGGGGGAGAGCGAGGCCGCTCACCAAGGTCGGTGAGAAGGAAAGACAGCCAGCGAAGCTCCTGAGCAACCATGGCCGCAGCGTACACCTCTGCCTCACAGCTGGAACCGGCGACAGACGACG